GGGACGGGAGCTCCCATGGCAGCGCGCGGGGCGTGGGGGAGGGAGGCAGCTCTGCGCGCTGCCACCAAGAGCTGCAATTATACTGTCACGGCACAAAAGCACGAGTCGTGGGGAAGGCTGAGGCTCGGGAGTTGGGGCCGGGACCATCGCGGGGGCCACCTCCTGCCCCTCCTGCTGCTCCCCCCTGACACCGGTGAGCAGCTGCCCCTCGCTGCCCCTCGCTGCCCCTCGCTGCCCCTCGCTGCCCTCGCTGCCCCTCGCTGCCCCTCGCTGCCCCTGCCCTGAGCCCACGGAGCTGGACGGCCGCTCTTCCAGCGCGGGGTGCGGGGACCAGAGCTGAGTCCCCCATGCAGGACCCCGGGGAGGGGGGCCAGACCCCCGTTCCCCCCCAGCTGGGTCTCCCCTCTTCCTGCGGGTGATGGAGGCCTGTGTGGGACCGGCGTTTTCTGGCGGAATCCGCCCCTGTTGGGGTCTCTGATGCAGGCAGCGCCAGCAAAGCCTGAAGCTCCGGTTGCCATGGCAATGCCTGAGCGTTGAATCCAGCTTTGTCAGCCAGCGCGAGGAGGAGGAGGAGGCACCCCAAGTGAAGAGGAAGAGAGCCTTCAACTCGTCCCCGCTCCGGTGGGCTCATGGCATGCGGCGCCTGCGGGGCAGCCCCGCGGGCCGGCCCGGCTAGGCATCCCCTGGGGACCCCCCCGCGCCCCGGCAGGGCACTGCGCCGCCCCGGCACGGCCATGTGCCCCCGCTGCCCGGCACGCAGCCGGCCGCCTCCGGAGCTTCGCTAGGGCCGCCGGAGCCGGCCCGTCCTGGATCCGTCCGAGCGGCAGAGGAGGGTGGGTGGGCTGCGTTTCGCTGGGGGCCGCGCCGAGGCGGGAATGAGAGACTGAGATCGGGCCGGCTGGACTTGTTCCTCCCTCCTACCCTCCACCCATGGCGTGTGCGGAGGGGAAGCAGCCATCAAAGCTGTGCGCTGAGTCCCGCAGGCAGGCAGCCAGCTGCCTGAGACAGATTTAATTCGCGGGAGGCTTTCATAGCCGTAGCTCCTCCGGTAGCTGCAGGGGGGCAGGCGCAGCCCGGGGACATGACTTGGACTCTCCTGCGCTGAGGGCTGCGGGCGCCTGGGCAGCCGGCACGTGCCTGCGGGAGCCACCGGCCCCTCCGCGCCGGGGGCCGCCCCGCGCCCCGGGACTGTGCCGCCGAGACCATGAAGAAGTTTGCCTCCACACGCAGCCTCAATAAGATCCTGCAGCAGTGCGACTCCTCATCCCGCGAGTACGAGGAGATCCAGGCTGTGGAGAAGAAGTGGCACCTGCATCTGGCCACTCCTCGTAAGTTCCTGGACAAGAAATGCAAAATGCCGTCTCTCTTCCTTTCAGCTCCGCCGCCTCCCAAGAGAGCGCCCAGCACCACCCTGACGCTGCGGTCCAAGTCCATGACGGCCGAGCTGGAGGAGCTGGGTAAGGGGCGGCGGGGGCCGGCGCCTGCATGCGGAGTCGGGGGGAGGGGGGCATGCGGGGCATGCGGGGGCTGTGGTGACTCCCCCCACGTCCGTTCTCCAGAGGGGTGCATGAGCTCGAGGCGACACGCACACCCCCGGCGCCGGGGGTTCCGTGGTGCAGGGGTGCAAGGGGCTGAGACCCCACCATGGCAGGGGAGCGGGAGCCCCCCCATAGATCCCATCCACCCCTCGGTGCCGGGGGGAGGATGCGGGGTGCCCCCATGTGCTTGCGGAGAGGCTGGCCGCCCCCGTGCCCCCTCCGTCGGGCACCCTGCTCCTCCCACGCTCCAAACAGCCCCTCGTTTTTATTTTCCTCTCCCTCCGGGCAGATGCCACACGCCGCCAAATTTGCTGGCGTCCCCACAGGCTGCCCCCCCCACGCCCCCCCTTATGCACACACACTCACGCTCACACGCTCTGCTGTCACTACGGAGCCGACCCACGTTTCCAGATGCTTTGGTGTTCCAGCTTACACCTCCATCTTCCCGTCTTCTCCTGGAGCCTCTCTCTCTACCCCCTGCCCCGTGCTGGAGCCCCTCGACCTCCCCGTCTGTTCTGGCGTTGAGCCCACACCTTCCCCGGTGTCACCCTCCCGGTGGGGGTCCGTGGGGGTGCCAGTGTCCACACACCCCCCGAAGGGCCGTCCCTTCCCTCTGAACGGAGCCCTTTGCCCATTTTTCCCCATATTCTCCCCGATGCGCCGCAGAGGCCGCAGGGTGGCTGAGCCGACGGTGGCAGTGCCAGGGAGGCTGGCTAGTGGAACGACAGCCGTGTGGCCCTCGTGGCCAGCCGGGCACGGGAGGTGTGGGGGATCCCCCCCTCCTGGGGGCTCCGGTGTGATGCCCGTGCCCACCAGGTTGGCTCTGCCTGGATGGGCTCCTCAGGGCGGGAGTCGGACGCGCTGCGAGCCCCCACGGGCAGAGCGAGGGGGAGCTTTTTTGGGTGTATTTCTGGTTTTGCTGGGTGAAGCTGGGGCGGTGTGTGTGGATGTGCCTGTGGGGCACGGCGTGGGGGCTGTCCCTGGCAGAGCCCTGTCCTGCCCGCGAGGAGACCCCCCGAGAGGCAGAGACCCCACCACCCCCTCTGTTTTTCGGGGTGCAAAGGAAGGTCTGTCACCTTTCTCTCTCCGCTCCCTGTCCCACACCCGTGTCGGGCTCTGCAGCCCTGCGGGCATCTCCTGAAAGAAACAGACCTTGTGGGGTTGGGCTCACGCTCAAACATGGATTTGAAGGAGCAGATGTGGGCACTTAAGTGTTTGCTCCTGCTGGTGGATGGCCACTGTGATTTATTTCACCCTGAGCCCGCTGCCTCCATTTCCACCCCTGCCTGCTCCCACCTCTCCAGACCCTTCTTTCTGAACCCCAAGGTGCAGGGTTTACGAGTAGCCACGAGGAGAGGATGGGGAATAGGTCGTTTCTTCCACTTTTTGCTGTTCCCTTGGCACAGGCAGTGCACAGAGCCCAGGGTTCCTGTTTTCCCCCTGGGATGTTGGTCCCGGAGTGGCTCCGGGCGCTGCACTGGGTTCCTGCTTGCACGGTGCCTCTCCGTCCCCAGCTGCATGTCCCCGTCCTCAGTGAAGATTGTGCCCGAGCCAGAGCTTGGCACGGGTCCTATGGGCACCTTCGTGGGGAAACGGGGGCACCTTGGCCCTGTGAGTGCCGGGTGGGGTGTGGGACACCCCCACGGGGCCACCAGGGCCGGGAAGGGACCCATGTGCATGTGTTTGGGCAAGCGGAGCTGTGGGCTGGAGGGAGAGGAGAGCGAGCTCGTGGAGAGGGAGGTCAGGAAGAACAGAGAACCAGCTCTGCCAGGGAATGGATTAAAGATGAACCCATGGGTCTCCCTGAGGGTTGTGCCTCTGCCTTTCCACCCGGAGAGGGACCAGGAGTGGCAGTCACCCGTGTCTCCTGGGAGAGGGGTTTGTAGCCAGTGGCTGGTGTTAGCCCACACGTTTCCCAGGACACTGTAGGGGTTAGTCCCTGTTTCACGTCCCTGTGGGTCGGGGACCGTGCTGTCGCCGGTGCCACCGCGCATCCCCAGGGAGCAGGGCACAGGGAAAATGGGGGATGCTTCCTCCTCCCCCGCTTTGTGTTCTGGTGGTTGATCCCCCAGCTCTGGCACGGAGGGGGAGTTTCCCTGCAGGTCGGTGTCCCCCCACCTCGGGGGGGTGCAAGCTCAGAGCCCCTGGTCTGAGGGGACAGTGGTGTTAGTGGAAGGAACATTGCTACCTGCAGCTCCTCAAAGGGAGCTTTGTCAGATGGTCCCTGCCCCGGTCCCTGTCGTGCCCGTGACCCTACCCTCACGTCTGCTTGCTGCATGTCGTGCCTGTCCCCAGGTCCCCAGCAAGCTGCCAACGAAGCTCCTGTCCCACAGCCCAGGCCTTTGCTGGGTGCGGGGGAAACGGGCTGTGGGAGAGGCGCAGGCCATGTCTCCTCACTCAGCAGGGAGGCATTCAGAGCCCTTCAAGGAGTTTCTCCATGGCATTAGATGCCATCCGGACCTTCTCCTGGCCTTACAGCCACCCCCGCCTCCCGGCTGAGCAGGAGGAGGGGGCTCAGCGGAGGGCTGGTCCCGGCAGAGCCTGGGCTGTGGTGGTCCCGGTGGGTGAGGGGGATGCCCAAGGAGCTGCCCCCTCTGCCCTGCCTGAGGCCTCCTCCCCAGAGCCCCGCCGAGGCTGGGGGTGCCCCACGGTCAGGGCCTGATCCTGCCAGCATGCCGGGAGGCAGGAGAGCCCGCGGAGAGGGCAGGCGGCCAGGCTGGAGCTGGGGATGGAAGCAGGAACTGTGCATGCCATTCATGTTGTCTTTTGTTTCTTGATTCCAAGCCTCCATGCGGAGAAGGAAAGGGGGTGAGTGAAACCACACGTCCTGGGGCTCCTCCCTTCCCCGTCGGCCGCCCCACGCAGCCGCGCTGGGCACCTCCCAGGGGTGTCCCCGTCCCCAGGTGTCACGGGGAGGATCAGCCCAAAGGCAGCTCCGGGGGTTGGCCTCCCCCCGGGGAGCAGCCCCACGTGCGGCTCTGGCCGGACTCGGGGCGGCGGCGATGGGCTCCCGTGGGGCACGGGCAGGGACGCCCCTCTGCCAGCTGGGGCCCAGGAACGTGGGTCTGACCCCCCGGGGGTCACACTTGCTCTGTCTTTGCTCCTGGGTGGAAATGCCCAGCTCCGGGGACAGACCCGAGTGAGCTGGGGGACAGCCGGCTCAGCTAGTGACTGTGCCAGCTCCGGGTGGAGAAGGCCACCACGGTGGTGGCCTTACCCACCACAAAGGCCACGCTAGCGGTGCCCGGGCTGGTGGGGGTGAAGCTGGTTGTGGCAGGACCCCATACGTGACAGTTGCACTACACAGTGTCCATGGGGACATTGCACGAGGGACACTGCAAAGCCAGGAGGTTCTCGCCGGGGCTGAGAGCCAGCAGTGGACACTCTGAATGGAGCAAGGAGGCCCGTCCTGTGCCAGCTCCTGGCTCTGCCGTTCCCCAGCACAGGCACAGGGCAGAGGGAGGGAGCCTGGGAACCTGACCCCAGATCTCAGCCTTGCAGAAGCAAAACTCTCTGTCCTGGTGGTGCGGAGCTGGAGAGCTGTTTCCCGAGGAGCAGGAAATGTGAGGGACCAACTCTTCCACCGTAATGGTGGTAACGTAGGGAAGAAGCTGAGCAGGGCTCACAAGCGAGAGGTCTCTGAGGTCCTCTGTACCGAGCAGGTCTGTCAGTACCCAGAGGTGGAGGAATGCAGAGGTCCCATGGATCAGAACGATCACATGGAGGTCGCCAGGTGAAATCCTGACGTTGAAGATGGCCATCTCCAAGTGCATGGTGGAGAGCTCTTGATGCTTTGGGCAGCCAGAGCCATCAGGGTGCCGCCATGCCTGGGGGTCCCTCTCTTCAGGGCGGCTCCAGCGCTGCCTCCCCCCAGCAGCCTGGGCACAGGCGGGATCCAGGAGGCTCTTCCACCCCCTGCAAAGGCAGGGCAGATACAGAGAGCAGTTGGTGGCAATTGTCTCCCTGCGCTCCAACGGCGTTAAGAGATGGAAAGTAGAACGAAGCCAGGAGGGGAGGGGGCTGATCATTGCTCCTGCTCCTCTCACAGCTCCGGGGTCTCCAAACTAACGTCGCTACGGAGCTGCCCAGAGCAGCTTCCAGAGACACCTGTGAGGCAGGTTTCCAGCACATGGTCTTCTTTAGAAGACCCCACAAGGGATGAGCCAGGTCCCCTCCGAGCAGTGCCAACTCCCCTGTGCCCCCGTGGTGAGCGCAGTGTGAGTCGCACGGCAGTGAGGAAGAGGAGCCGTGAGGTCCCCCAGAGTCAAGGGTGGCCAGCTAGGAAAGCCTGGAGGTCTCCTGCTGAGGACGTTCAGGGGCTGTTTCCTTGGAGCAGGTGTAGCTCCTTGGTCTCAGGGCCTCCACAGCTGGGCTTGTGAAACCTGTAGGGCTCAGTTCCTGTAGCTCAGGGCTGCTGGCTCACAACCTGCCGCGCAGGTGGCTGCTGGGGACACATGTTGCCAAAGGACTGATGCCATCCTGGGGTCACACCATCCCCGACAGGGTTCTGTAGGAGCACAGACCTGGTGGTCAGAGCTCTGCAGGTGTCTTGGGTCACGAGGACCAGGAGCTCCCACACCACAGCGGTGACATTTTGCAGTCCCGGGTCCAACAGCCAGGCTGGAAGGAGCCCAGAAGCTGACAAACCTTACCTGAGGGCAGGCAGAGCTTGTCACCTGTAGGGGACAAACGCTGCACGTGTTCTCCCCTCTCGTGGGCAAGTTCCTGGGCCAGTGGCTTCCTTATGCCTTGGAGGTAGAGCCATCCCAGCCTGATGAGTGCCAAGGCAGAACCTCAGCTCCAGCCCAGCGCGGTGCCAGCGCAATGGTCACACTCCAGGGCCAGGAGACACCATTTGTGACATGGAGCCAACAGACTTGGCCCTGCCTGGCCCAGGGAGGTGTCAGAGCAGGAGCAACCACACCTGAACCAACCCTGCCCGGGCTGAGCACCAGCCCCCTTTGTTAGCTCGGCTCTAACGGAGGTTGCTCTGGAGGGGTCTGTGGTGATGGTGACCACCATCTTCCTGCTGCCCTCTCCAGTGTCCCGGGTTTCAGGATGTTTTACAGCCCCAGACAAAAGCCCAGTGGCCACTGCTGTGTCCAAGTGGGTACGTCCTCCTGGCACAAGTGGTGTGTCCACTCGGGGAGAAAACATCCCAGTTTGTCCCACACGGACCCTGGAGTGACACAGGTTGTGCGGGAGCCAAACAGAGTCCTGTGACTTCTGTGTCACTCATGGTCCCTGCAGCACCGGGGTTCCCGTTACCTGCTGCCCACACCCCTCCTCGCCCCGTTCAGGGGTCTTGCCCTGAACATGAGAAATACATCTGGGCAAGATCCAGTGTAAGGATGGGGGGTTGCTCCAGGTGTGGCACAGCTGGGAGCGGTGTCCCCAGCACTGGCAGGTCAGACCGCTGCGGTGAGGGATGCTCCGGGTGCAGCCGGGGTGGGAGAGCAGCATGGCACGACAGGGCACGGCGCGGTGCCACTGTGCCAGGCTGTCGGCTGCGGGTCCCCTGGCTGAGCCCAGCCTGGCTGTGCATGGCAGCGGGTGGGCAGCTCCAGAAACACCTCCAAAATCAGACGGCCGAGTGGTGGCTTCCTCAACTCTGCGCTCAACAGGCCCCGGCACCGCTCTCCCTGCGGGGATGGGGGCTCCGTGCTGAGCAGGGGACGGGGCTGTCCCGGGGGAGCGACCTTTGCTAACCCCTTTGCTTTTTCTTTTGGGTTTTTAGAGAAACTGGACGAGATTTTGGCAGCAGCCGAGCCGGCGCTGAGAGCAGACATCGTGGAAGCGGATTCCAGGGCAGCCACTGTGAAGCAGCGACCAACAAGCCGGCGCATCACGCCAGCAGAAATCAGTGTGAGCGAGGAGGGCTGGCGGGACAGGGGCTGGTGGCCAGCACCACCGACGGGCCCTGGGGAGTGGGTGTCCCCGGGGAGGGCGAGGGGAGGGTCAGGGGAGAGGGAGACACAGCAGGAACCCGGGCAGGCGGTGGGGGAGCCACCCCAGGCCGGTGGCTCTGGCTATGGGTACAGGATTGCCACGGGGAGGACGTAAGAGCGGGTCTGAAGGAGTGTGGAAGGCTGAGCTGGAGAGCTTAGGCTGGCTGCGGTGTTCTGGGTGTGAGGATGGAAATTAGGAGGACTCCAAGAAGAGAAAAGCCGCCGTCTCTGAGGGGAAGCATGGATGGAGTAGGAGTGGGGCTGCCAGCTCCAGGCTGTCTGGATGGAGAAAGTGCTGCAGGCGGTGGGAGGCAGCTTCTGGAGCAGGAGGGAAAATGGGACAGGCGGCTTCTGAGCAGAGACTGGCCTGAGAGGAGCCTTCCCACGGGAGGAAGGCTGCTGCGGGAGTCAGCATCGCTCTGCCACCCCACCCGGGGCACGGGGAGACACAGAGCCAGAGGGGGAGCAGGCAGGGGGGAGAGGGCAGGGAGAGCTGGCAGGGGAAGCAGGCAGGGAGAGAAGGCAGGAGGAGCAGGCAGGCTGGGGAGAGGGAGGAAGGGTTAACCCTTCAAATGGCAATAGCATATGCTTTGGAGACACCTGGGGCAGGATGGAGATGGAGGGTTGAAGGTAGAGGTGAGGACACGGTCCGTCCTTGTCACAGAACCCCAGAATGATGTGGGGCTGGCAGGGACCTCTGGAGAGCACCCAGGCCAACCCCCTGCCAGAGCAGGGGCACCCACAGCAGCTCCCACAGCAACGTCTCCAGGGGGGTTGCAATGTCTCCAGAGAAGGAGACTCCACCACCTCTCTGGGCAGCCTCTGCCAGGCCTCTGCCACCCTCAAAGTAGAGAAGCCTCCCCTCCTGGGGTGGTGGCAGTGCCAGCATCGAGTGTGGGGCGGCAGGGGCCGGGTCTGGGGGCAGGGACAGGGTCTGGGGGCAGGGTGATGGGTAAAGCCCTGCTCCTGCTCCACCGGTGGCCAGAAGGGTCAGGGGGGACTGAGATGAAACGTGGAGTCCTTTCAGCTGAGTCTCACTGATGTCCAGAACGGAAATGTCCCTTTTTTCTCTTCCAGTCCCTCTTCGAACGCCAGGGAATGGCAGCACACTCGGGGGTCCTTGCGGGAGCTGAGAAGCCCCACGTTTCACTGCGCAAAGGAATTCCACGGACAAAATCTGTAGGTAAGGCACGGCTGGGGGAGTCCCCTCCCAAAGAGGACGGGGTGTCCCCGTGGGGTGCCCCTGCCTGCACGGGAACCCATGGGAAGGACACGGCCCTCTCTGCCGGCCCGTGGCTGAAGGTCTGCGGAGGGGACCTTGGGTGTGATTCCTGCCTCAAAGGCTGTGCGAGTCCTCAGAAGCCTCTTCTGTCACTGCTGGGGTTTGAGAAACCCACAACAATTTATTGGCATTTAGACAATTATTCTCTCACCCGATGACTCCTCTCCACCCGGGAAGGGGAATTGGGGAAAAACAAGGGAACACAAGGGTTGAAATGTAAATAGATTTAATAGGATAAGACTAAATAATCACCATTAACAGTACTAAAGAACCAGTATTGATCCTGGTACCAGTATAAAATCCACAAGGACTATCCCCAGCCCGTTCCCCAGCAGAGACAGCCCATGTGGGACCCTGCGAGCGCGGTGGCTTTGGGAGGAAGAGAAGGGTTCAGGGCTCCGGCACCGGGGCAAGGAGTTCTGAGGATCCCAGCCACCAAGGGAGGGAGAGAGACCTCCTCAGCAAACTTCCTAATTTGTATAGAATGTGCCCTTCATGGTATGAAATAACCCTGTTGGCAGCTTGGGCCAAGTGCCCAGGTCTCTCCTCCTCATCCCTGCACCTGGAGAGGCTTGAAAACACCGAGACCTTGAATCCCACAGAGCCTGGCTGGCTGTGAAGTAAATATTTTCACAAATTCAGGCACTAGAGTCTTCTAAACATGCAGTTTTCCCAAGTGAAATCAGTCCTCTGCTGCTCAAAGCAGGACAAACGCTGACACTGGTCCTGCTCTGAGCAGAAGGTGGGACTGGAGACCTCCTGGGGTCCCGGGGTCTCTCTGTCTCCTTCTGGCACGGCTGGGGCTGGGGGAGTTCTCCCACCCCCTGAGCTGGCAAACCAGGGTCGGGGTGGGGGGGTTCTGCTGGACCACGCAGCGGCTGGGCTGGGTGTGATGAGCGCTGGGTGCTTGAGGGTGAAACGTGAGCTGTAATGGAGTCAGATGATGGAGCAGGTAACAACTGGGGGGTTTTCCTAAGGAAGAAGAGGGTCTGGAACAGGCACCCGTCTCTGGGATGTGTCGGCGTCCTTAGACCCTGTCCCAAAAGGTTCATGGTGCGACTAGACCCAGAACTGGTGGAGGCAGGAGGTGGGAGGAGGAGGCAGGGCAAAGGCAGGCGGGTGGATCAGTGGTGATGGGGGGGGTCTCAGGTTCTTCTCTTGGTTTTGTGGGTGCCTGTAGCCAGGTCTGAGGCCGTGGGGATCAGAGCTGGGTGAGGGTGGTGTCTCTGGCATGAGGAAGCTGAGGAGCAGGAGGAAGGTGATGCGCTGCGTGGGGAGGGCTGATTCTAAGTAACCCCAGGGCATCATCTGACAGCAGTGATAATGCCAAAGCAAATTGTGTGTTTAATGCACAAAATAAGTGAGTAGAAAGTAAATTCTGCTTCAAGCTACAGCTGAGCAGCGCAGTCCCAGCCAGGATGTAAAAATCAGTTGAAAAAGGCAAGGGCTGGTATTCAAAATGTACTTTTTAATGCGCAGAGCCACGGAATTGCTGTGCATGCGTGACTCACTGGTGTTTGTGTGAGAGCAGCTGGTACCTGTAGTCCCACGTGAGGTTGGTCTGAGAGTAGTAGATAGCGAGAGATAATCAAATGTGTGGATGATTAATCCGAAAAACAAACTGGGAGAGATAATGTTAAAAAAAAACCCCAAAGGCGTGGGCGTTCAGCGGCTGCCCTGGCGTGTGCTCGCACACCCAGCTCTAACGCTGCTCTCCTGCCCCAAAACCTCAGGCACAACCTCCTGCAGCTCGGGGGGCCCCGACAGACCTGGGGGTGAGCTGGGTGCTGGTGGTGGGTGTTAATTAGCTGCTGTACGTTGCACTACTTTAATGGCCATGGCAGAGGGGAGCAGAGCTGGGTGCCTGGGGACACCACGGCTCCGACCCAGGGATGAGCTTGGGTACAAATACCAGTTAATTTTCTCATGAAGGTAAAAGTGATCAGAAGCACATGGAGGGTGGGATCCATCTCATCCCGCCGTAATAGTAACAATGCAGAGATCTCCATCCGAGCCCTGATAGTGACCAGGGGGAAACAGGCACTTTTTAACATGATTTATCTGATGTCTTGATGGTGGCAGTGTGTCCTGCAGAAGTGTCCATGGGCTGTGAGGGGTATCCAGGGACCGCTGGGCTGTGGGGCAGACAGGGGTCCATGGCCAGCCCTGTCTGAAGTGCATCTTTGTTTTGTAAACTATGTCCTGGATGTTTGGTTTATGTAGGAGAATATTTGTGGAAATGCTGCTAAGCAGAAGTTGTTCAAGGTTTAATCATAGAATCCCAGCCTGGTTTGGGTTGGAAGGGAGCTTAAAGCCCCCCCAGTGCCACCCCCTGCCCTGGGCAGGGACACCTCCCACCACACCAGGTTGCTCCAAACCCCCTCCAACCTGCCCTTGAACCCCTCCAGGGATGGGGCAGCCACAGCTTCTCTGGCCAACCTGGGCCAGGCTCTCACCACCCTCCCCCCAAACAAGTTCTTCCCCACAGCTCAGCTCCATCTCCCCTCTTGCAGGGTCAAACCCTTCCCCCTCCTCCTAGGGCTCCCCTCCCTCATCCAGAGTCCCTCCCCAGCTTTCCTGGAGCCCCCCCCTTGAGGGACTGGAAGGGGCTCCAAGGTCTCCCCGGAGCCTTCTCTTCTCCAGGCTGAACCCCCCAACTCTCTCAGCCCCCTCTCCCAGCAGAGGGGCTCCAGCCCCAGACAGCTGGAAATCAAATTAAAGGGGATCTATTGTGTGAAATAGCATCTTAACCCAGTGTTAGATCATAAATTGGAAAAGTATTCATTAAATATGACATACTTGCCCTTAAGGAGCTGGTTTTTACTTGTGAAAGTGGAGTCAGTGACTCAGGAGGTCCCTCTAAAGCTGCACCTCGTTGTGTGATACTTGTTGTGCTGCTGTTGAGGGTCTCGGTGTGTGGAGAACCAAGAGCAGAGGATCTTGAAGTGTGTAGGTTTATGCAGCTGTGGGGTTTGCTGGGTTGTGTGGGGGGTTCTTATGCTTGTGGGCATAGAGTGTGATGCCCCATGTACGGCTGTTTGCAGCACCCAGAGCACTGAGGGGGGATCTGCTCAAGGCCTGGCAATCCTTCCAGGGGGGGTGTCAGGAGGATGGGGCCAGGCTTTTCCCAGTGGTGCCCAGGGCCAGGCCAAGAGGGAACGGGCACCAACTGGAGCAGGGGAAGCTCCATGGGAACACCCTGAGGAGGCCGTTGTTTGGTGTGAGGGTGGCAGAGGCCTGGCAGAGGCTGCCCAGAGAGGTGGTGGAGTCTCCTTCTCTGGAGACATTGCAACCCCCCTGGAGACGTTGCTGTGGGAGCTGCTGTGGGTGCCCCTGCTCTGGCAGGGGGTTGGCCTGGGTGCTCTCCAGAGGTCCCTGCCAACCCCACATCACTCTGGGATTCTGTGTTAATTGTTCTCCATCCAAAGGCACGTGTCTGACCGCACCCAAAGGCAGTGATTCCTGGTGAGGAGGGGACAGCAACGTCTGGTTCCCAGTTTGCTGCCACACGCACACCAAACGCAGCGCCTCTTAGGAACCGGCTAATTCTTGTGGAATTCCAGCTTGGCTAAAATAGAAAACAGCCAAACAGTGGAAATTGGGTTGCAATTGGCTTGTTTTAGAAGTCCTTCTTGAGCTGTCATTTCCCGCCCACGGTGACAGGCTCATACGCTGTACAGTCAGTTGACTTCATGATAAAAATCACTACTAAAAGCAAGGAACGAGATGAAAAATAAGCAGGGGCTGGTTGGTTGGTTTGGTTTTTTGGTGAAGAAATGCTCTGAATTATTTGCATTTTACACAGCTGGGTTAGATTCCCAGGGACTTGTGACAAAAGATCAAAGCATTTCATGTTCACATCTATAAATTTCTGGAGACCAGGGGAGTTAACCCTCAACTGGCTGCAAAGGAAGCAGAACAGAAGAAATATTTCAACAACAACAAAAAAAAAATCTGAAGAAAAGAAATGCTTTGCAGTGGGGAGGCTGATAGAAAAGCAGATCTCTGTCAGGCTTCCAGGATAGCTGCCGTGCCATCTGCTCCAGCAGCACGAGTTAAAAACACTTGCAAGTCTGCAGAGGCACCATGGCACCCGCTGGGGCTCTCCCCGGGACCATGGAGACGGGACCATGGAGACGGGGGGTTTGCAGGGCCAGCAGTGGTGTGTCCCCATGTCAGCCCTGGGCTGCGGGCGCTGGCTGGCGGCGGCAGATGCACCGCAAGGAGGAAGCCTTGTCCTGCTGTTGGGAAGGACGTTGGGGATGCCAGGCTGCTACCCTGCCAGCTCAGGGTGAGCACGCAGCCTTCCTGCAGCCTTCTGCATCTTTGCTGCAGCTTTCTGCATCCTGACTGCAGCCTTCCTGCATCCTTCCTGCATCCTTCTGCAGCCTTCCTGTATCCCTCTGCAGCCTTCCTGCATCCTTCTGCAGCCTTCCTGTATCCTTCTGCAGCCTTCTGCATCCTGACTGCAGCCTTCCTGCATCCTTCCTGCATCCTTCCTGCATCCTTCTGCAGCCTTCTGCATCCTGACTGCAGCCTTCCTGCATCCTTCTGCAGCCTTCCTGTATCCCTCTGCATCCCTCTGCATCCTTCTGCAGCCTTCCTGCAGCTTCTAGCTCTAGGCAATCCTGCTTCAGCAGGGGAGTTGGACTAGATGATCTCTATGGTCCCTTCCAACTCTAGAAATTCAGTGAAATTCAGTGAAATTCCTGTATCCTTCTGCAGCCTTCTGCAGCCTTCTGCAGCCTTCTGCATTCTTACTACAGCTTTCCTGCATCCTTCTGCAGCATTTCTGCAGCCTTCTGCATCCTGACTGCATCCTTACTACAGCCTTCCTGTAGCCTTCTGCATCCTTCTGCAGCCCTGCTGCATCTTTCCTGCATCCTTCCGCATCCTTCCTG